AAAAAAACCCTAACAGGGAAAGAGAAGGGAAGACGGCAGGCCAAGGTGTTCTAATTGCGATTCGTCATTGGGTGGCAACCGTCGGGGGTTGCACGTAGCGTGTTCCAGTGTTGAGTTAGGTCGACAGTTTTACTGTGAGAAGACAATGGCGGAATCTCCAGAGCAGGCACGACCTCGAGAGCTCTCCGTGAACAGTGCTGCGGCTGTAGACAGCGCGATTTCCTTGGTTGTCCAGGCAGTTGACGTCGAAAGAGGACTCACTGGAGAAGAAACTACAGTCGTCACTAAGGCCGTCGACAGTGTGGTATCAGAAACATTCTCCTACGAGCAGGATCAACTGGCTGCGGCCGCCGAGTCTACGACAGTCGTGGTCTCGGAGGCCATAAAGTTTGAAAAAGAGTACTATCAGGATCACGAGGATGCCGTCAACGAATCTATATCGGAGATGGTATCTGAGTCCATCAAGACAGAGCTTAAATTCAAGGAGCAAGCTCCGACTCACGCAAAAGTTGTTTACACCGAGCTGACGTTGGCACTCATCAAACCGGATGCTCTCAAAGCTGGTCATGATCGTGAGATACGATACGCAATGCATGCTCACGGTTTTGTCATAGTGCACGAGGCTTACATTAAGGTGAGTGTTGTTCTTGTTTGGACCGTTTTCGTTGATGGCCCTGTTGTTTATGCAGTTTACTTCTGTCAGAGCTGGCATATTTTATGACCATCACCGTGGCAAGCCGTGGTTTCAGAGATTGACTCGGTTCATGAGCAGGTAATACACTCTCGATTTGTGTGGTTGTATTGATGAACCTTTAGTAAAACAATTCAGTGGACCTGTGCACGGGTTCGTCTTGGGAAAGGAGCGAGCGGCAAGGTCATGGAATGTTGTGATCGGTCCCACAGATCCAGAGCAAGCTCGCAAAGAGTCGCCTTTGAGGCTTGTTTTGCTGATTGGATTTATGAACTTCTCTCATACTCGCCGTTCTTGCTCCAGCTTACGAGCGCGCTTTGGAAGGGATATCCTGCGAAATGCAGTGCATGGTAGCTTTAATGCAGCACGTGCAAGACAGGAGATCAAGTTTATTTTTCCCAATGGTAAATGCCTGGACTTCTGAGAAGCGAGAGCTTCAAAAATGGATAAAATTGTGTTTTCCCTGTGCAGTGGTTATGGATCCTCTACCTGATCCACCGAAGGCTCGGATCACCTTCGACAAGACCTTAAAGCGAACTTTGATAATGGGATTGACAGCGTTGTGCAAAGCCAAGCCTTATTCGGAGCCGCTCAAAGTGCTTGTATCCTTTTCTACTTCTCAGCTTGTATGTTCCACTTACCTGCGTGCAGTCCTTGATCAGAACGCAGAGATGGTTCGCTCGGTGGTTACAAGAACACAATCCAAATAGGCCTTACATTGATGGCAAGAGATACGTGGAAGTTGTCATTCCTGACTGACTACTCCAAGAACACGTCTGTAAGTTGTCTAATAAAGTTGTCTGCAGACAAAGAATGACAAGCTTGCCTTGGTGCCTTGGTCCCTTGGTGCCGTGTCCTGTGGATTATATGTGGATCTAGTCTAGGTACCGGGTCCTGCTGGCTCTTCAC